AGTCTATTTTCTGACGACTTACTCATCTCCTATTCTAACCCCATTCTGGGTTTTCCACGTCCAAATCGCTTTACTTTCACAAATGAAATCTGAGAAGACTAGGACTTTTCGTAATGCAATTCACTTGACTTCCTATCGATAGATAGTCAATTTTTCTTGTGACAGGTAGTGGTCTAGCTTCTTCCACGTGGTTTATAACTAGGCGTCAAGCAGGGACTTAAAGTAATGACAATAATGCAATTCGTAACTAATAGTAGAGTATACTAAATGATTGATCTTGAGCACGAAGCTCTATACAAAGGAAATCCATCTTGGTTATATAGACCTTCATGCTAATCGTCCCCTTGGTCCCCTCGGTCCCTTCGATCAAGAGACCGAGGGGATCGAAGGGACCATGTGATTACATAATTGGTCACATGATACGAGATCCGAAGCCGTCGTAACAGCTGCGTAAGATATGGGGATGTCGGTTAGAGGTTACTACACGACCAATCCATGCACGCCACGCATGGAGCTGATAGGCAGGCATATATATTGGGCTGATACAATAAGAGGGGGGAGAGATACTTGGATGATCTGCAACCAGATCACTTCACGTTTCTCAGCCTCAATAGGTACGTAGACAGCATTGAAAAGATGTGGGCGGGGTTGAGCTGTGCAAGTCCTCGCACTTCACTCCAGCCCACCAATTCTGTGAAGCCCAGGCAATAAATAACTTGTGGTGTTGAAATTCTACAAAAACTCTAGATTTTTCACTGAGTTCTTGTTACTAATATTCAAATCAAAGATCTAGAGCAGCCTCACTAGATTCTGAGAAGCAATGAACCACGGCCAGGAGCATAACCAAGAGCCACAATTATACGGCAACTATGCTGCCTATGGAAGTGGTGCAGACTTCAACATGAAGATACCCAGGCAGATATTTTGCGCGTTCTTGAAGGTGTCTCGGTGACTATGAAAAGCCCGGATGGCGAGCTTCCACTGATTCAGCAGTGGTTTACTCTTGATCACAGCAATTGTAAGTTCTTGAAAAGAAATACTCTACTACTGCAAAATGCACTACTGACCTCTTGCGTAGCAACCGACTTGATGGTATCCGAATGGCTGAGTCGAATAGATTCTGCTTATAATAAAAGCAAACCTGCACATGATCACCAGCGCTCTAATATGCACACAAGAGCCAGACTAGTAGCAAGACTTACAATCGGGGTAGCCTTTCTCCGGCAAAAGTCCCGCAACGATCAATCAGCCACACCTGACGATCTATACTTCACATGGCATCTCGTCTACGACATCCTCTCCAATGACCAATTTCCCGAACCCCTCTGCACCGCCGCACGCAGCGCACAAGGCTTCGTAGCCATCGCCCTCTGCAGTCTAATAAAAGACGGCAAGATCGAAGAACTCTTCCGTCTCCACGCCTGGCTTCCCGACGGACAAAGAGGCAACAAAGATTTCGCCATTCATTCCCATCAAGCCTGGACTCAGAGCTAGATTCTAGCCGGCGAGGGAAAAAACCGCACGTTTCATGTTAGATGTGCTAGTAATCCCGTGTTTGCAACACATAGTAAATATGCGCTTCGGTGGAGTGATGATACGAAGGAAAAAAATAATGCAACGACTTCGTATAAAACGCATCAGACATTTTCGATTGTGGATAAGAAGGAGGAGATGGCTAGGGCGACTCTTGCGCGTATTGATCGGCATTCAAAAAATATGAGTTATAGGATTTCTTCGGCTTCCTATCATACTAGTACTGTTGATCCGGGGGCTATGCATGCGACGTTGTTTTTCTTTGATGCACAGAGAGGTTTTACTCGTGATTCTAACGTTTTGGGTCCTACGCAAGGAGATTCTTTTGTTCAGGTTCGGGATACTTCGAGTACGAATTTGATAGGTTTGGCGAATGATATTAACGCGTTACGATTTGGGGATGTATAATAATTGAAAGGCCTTCGGGGATATTATTTAAGGTTGAATTTTGGGGTTTTTTGAAGGATTAGAGGATGTTACTATAGATATACCATATTCTTGTAGTAAATGCCAAGAGTTTTAGATGAATATTACCCCAACTTTTGTCTTGCAAAAATACTACAGTATTAATGTATAAGAAAAGTTTATAAAGTATGTATATACTTATTCTAATGTGAATATCTCCAGGGATCTACCATGACATTTCAGTCTCTCTTCTAACACTTCCGGTAACAATCGAGGATCATAGTCAATAATATCTCCCGCCACCCTGTTTCGAAAAAAAAATCACAGATTGTCGGATAATCAGGCCCCAAGTCTCTCCCAAGACTTTCATCTCCCACTCTTTCCCAAACAGGATCTACTTCGAGCCGAGGATCGCTTGTAGTAAGCTCGGCCGTTTCAGCATTGAAGAAGCGATATACCTCCCTAAACATGCTATTTTTGTGGTGTCGTAGCTGTACCTGCCATGGAGAAGGTAGCGGACCGAGGAGGGGCGTGGCTTCGTTTAACCCGTAAAAAAACAATAGCCGACGAGTTCAAATGAACCGTCTGCACGCGGACGCAAAAGCATGGACGGAACGCATCCTAGGAATACGGATATAATGTCGCCTGTTGCAAATTATCTGCGAAGAAAATGGTAGAATATAAAATGAAAGCAATAAATGAGGTACGTACCGGGTTGGGTCACTATGGGACCTATTACTAAGTAGCCCTCAGCTGTAAAGAACAGTGCACGTCTGAGAACGCAATTATACGCGCAATAACTGAGAGAATTTAGTCCGGTCAAATCCAGCGACCGTGTTTCCTGCCCGTGCCTCCTCCCCAAATTCAGCGGGCACCGTAGCTTGCGATTTCCATTCTTTCAAGGTCCGCATGTAAGCATTAGCAGGCCATCGTTCCCTGATTCGATTCTGCAAGAGTGTAATAGTATATGCGTCCGAGAGATTATCGCCGGTCACATAGTCTCGCCCGTACAGATTATCTGGTTCCCATCCTCGGACCGTCATCAAGTCGATGATGGGATCCTCCGACACCACTGGGTCGCCTACCCGGGTCACATTTGCAACCCGTATCCCCGTAACTTCTAGTCTGTTAGGCTCTTGGTATGTAAAGTAGACTCTTGAATGACCTGCACTGTATTACTGCCTTGATCCCCAGCCCGGCACGTCAAGTGAGGTCCAGTCCGGAATCCACGATGGTCCTTGAATTTTACGGTCGCTCTGCTCACAAGCAAATGATTCCCGACGACCAAAATTTTTCATATGAGCGAGAAACATATCACGATAAGTGTCTGTAACCGACACAGCATCCGAATAGTCTGGGCAAATGAGCTTAGCGAACCTTTTGGGGACGATCCCGAGTATGCCATAGATCTTGTCTTTAGGATCCTGACACTGCTGCTGACGTGAAATTTCGAGCAGCGCCATGAGAATTTTGCCACGATGGCTCTCTGTGATTCGCACGCATTCTAGGACCGGCGGACGCAAGCCCTTGTATGGCAAGTTACTTTTGCTGTACAGGCAAGCAACGGCCTTTCGGAATAGTACAAGGGGTGTGATTTTGTCTCCACATTGTATGGTGGCGTGGCGATGGGCAAGTGAGACCTCCTGAATAATTCATAACCGTCGGAAATAAGTACGGTCGAGAAGGTCGTGTATGGCCCTCTACGTTGCGGGGGTATATGGGACATCCACCTCTTCGCTAAACCAGAACTTTTGTTCCGCACTAGGGGACGCAAATTTCCGCCCGTCTAGTGTGACCTCTTCCTGTGCTCCAAGATACTCCAGAGTTGATAAGGCCTCTTTACTGTTCGCTGCTCCAGGCCCTAGCCATATTTTTGCTCGAGGCGCCAGTCTGTAAATTTCATCCATCCGACGTATCTTTCCCTGTTTTCTCAACCTTGTTGCTTTGGTCAATAGAGCGCGCATCTATCCAAAGCGTTCGTTCTTCATTTTCACGTCGAAGATGTCGCAAAGCAGTGGCAAGGGCCTGGCCAATACACAGTGAGCCACCCGGATTGAGAACCAATCCATGAGCTGAAACACCTGGCACAACTTGAATTTCAACTTGATTATTTTGGGGACCCCATACATAAGACAGAGCTTCGAATGAAAATGAAGGAGGTGATAGACCTCCAATGACTGGTGTATTGAATCGAGATTTGTCAAAATCCTTGATAGGATGTTCCCAAGTCGTGATTGTGACATTGTCAGTCCCTCGTATGAAAAGTAGCCGGCCTTCAACTGTTTGGCTGGCATCCCAATGGGCGGGCAAAGTCTGTTGTATATCATCTCGAGATAGACGATTTGTGCGATCTTGTTTCGCTGCTACCAGCTCCCGTGAGAATATGTCAATCCGGAGGTGGTCGTGGGCTTTTCCAGGCAGTAGATGGATGAGTCGAATTTCCTTGGTCACGTTTTCCAACGGATCGTACTTGAACACTGCAGCCGAATCCATCGGCTCGTGCTCTGCAATCGAGTGTGGCTGTCGGCATATGTGCGGATGTATCTCCAAAGGGAAGGTGTGTTCAGAAACGGTATTGTATTTTACTATCCGACGGAGGAAAGCACAATTCTTTTTTAAGTACCTGCTGTTCGAGATCCAGGACTCCGTGCTCTGATGCATGGTTACGTGGCAGGTGGAGAAGCGATCAGCTTTCGACGTCGATGTATGGAGAATAAATCAAGACAACATGGCAAGAAGTGCTTACAATCGTCTATTTGCAAGCCAAAGAGAAGAGAAAACAAATGGGTTCCAAGTCAGGTTATATACATTATGTATGGCGGACACAGGAGTGTACAGAAATTCTAGAAACTTCTAAGATATTACTTGTGACGATGGCCTAGTTCAAGGCAGAATAGTTATCTAATTTAGAAAATAACAAACTAATGTACAACGAACAATGGAGTTGAGCCTTTTATGGTCCCTCCTTGCTTGGGCGATTCTGCTTGGTAGAGCAAATACTTTGGCACTAGGTCTTTTAAACGTTGCGACGGCGAAAGGAGGTTACTAGGCTTGAGAGAAGGATGGTTTGAAGGATTGAAATGTGAGTAATACTTTGAATGAGGGTGTGATGATGGCTTTACTGTATGATGTTTCAATCCGATAAACGCGGAGAATTCAAAGGGTTTTCAACCGCCAAATGCTGATATTATGATTCCCCGCATTCCTAAATCGTGAATGGTAACCCATATACAACCGTAGAAATTCATCAGTTCTGTGATAAGAGAACAATTCGTAGAAAATGAGGATTGATGTTCTTGAAAAATAACTCAAATACCGGATTGATGTAAAGATGGATATTCGGCGGTGGCTTAGACAATGCCATTTAGCTAGCGAGTAATGGTTACCCTATCATAGGTTATAGGAACCTAGGCTATAGGCACAGATGAACCAATAACTTCTAATTAAGGGTGCTCTTCGTAGAAAAGCAACTTTGGAGGAAAAAACAAAACATAAGCTTTTATCAGCTTTGAATAAGGGGAAGTGGTGTCAAGTGTGGCAATTTATCCATCGGGATGAGAATCTTTGTCAAATATGTACACCAAATGATTGACCATATTGCATGTACAAAACCTATAGGCCTTGTTCTGAATAGAAGCCAAAGTGGTAAGGTTAACGAAACTTCGTTATTGCGGGATGTTCTAGCATCTCGTACAAAACCTGAGTTGAATATTTGACTACATTTGGAGGCTCAGCTCAACTAACTGTGACAGAAAATGCAGTAAAATCACTAATATCGTGGAAAAATGATAAAGTGTTGAATATATTATCGCTTGGATTTCAAGGTACAGTAAGGACTCAGGAGAGGCGGCTCGGATCTCAAACCTTAAATGGAGGTCCGAGTGATATCGGCTTCCTTCTGCGGGTCTTGTTATTGACCCACGCCGCATAAATGGAGAATAAAGAATGGATACCGAGTTCACTGAATCGATGAATGGATACTCGTGCTGTCAAAAGATACCAAACGAACGCTGCTCGTGCGGCTAGAAAGTATCGCATACTCCAACTTTAAGCACATACCACAAGATGGTGAACTACTCCGTACAGAAGAACCGCAAAGGAAATAGCAGCCCTCCGAATAAAGTGTGCTTTACTTTCTGGCCGCACCACTAGAATCTGGTTCTTCCTCTTGTTGTCTACTAGATTGTATTATGGGCATACATAAAGTCGCGGGGCTATATTCTTTCCTCCGTACGCGAGGAAACATTACCAGACTAGATACAGAGTAGATAACAGCCAGTCTGAGATACGAGTGTTTGCGGGTAGAGAGAGTAGTTAATCGCCTCAAACGTAGGCTAGCCACAGTATTGGTTTCTAAATAGCTTCTAGGCTTCTGACCTCTAGTATCGTGACATTCGCGTACATGCATCCATCCTGAATGCTAAGGTCAAGCATGCGTAACACCATCCGAGTGGCACGATCTTTGCAACGGTTTTCCATTGCTCCCCCATCGAAGTACCTTTCTTTTTCCAATGTGACGCCCATGATGTAATTGTGATCTGTACTTCTCATTGATGTCTAAGGATGAATTAGAACTTTGTTGATTTTTTCGCCTTTGTACTTAACCGTAGCTGAAACTTCCATGGCCTAATAGAGTTTTGAAGCTACACTTGCTTTACATCAATGAAGGGGTCGGGAAGCCTTCGTCCCTTGACTAGACTTGTGACTCATAAATATCTTGCTGCTAGTCAATACCCCGGTGCGTTAGGCTGGTGGGCACTTGAAGGAACTAAAGGAAAATCTGTTACGGAGTACTCTGTACATAAGCATGATTCCGCGAACCCTCGAATATCATTAATAGGTACGACTTAGTGAAAAAGGAATGCTGAGTGGAGAATTTAGTTTGGAGTCAGGGACCAAAGGATTGCTGCCGATTGTGAGGTTATCATTTTGTATGTGCAACCTGTAGCTCCTCGCACAGGCCAGATCGGTCCGGACTTTATGCAAACACAGCAGGTAATAATCTCCCAATCAATTTCTGCTTGTACTCAACTATCTTCTGGGTATGGATAACATGCATGTAAGATCATGTTTTAAAGAATTATCACTTAAATATTGTACCATTGTAGAGGTCAATGAGATCCCTCCGAAATATAGGAGGGTGCTGTCCTCACTATGAACGAAGCCTTCGATGGTTAAGCCTTATCTAGGTACTGGCAGTGAAGTTTTGTCCATGTCTCTACTGCATTCCTGCTACCACTCCACCTGCTATAAAGAGCCCATGCTTTGATGCATCTTAAAGGAGGGGTAGCTTGGAACCAGAGATATGCTACACGGGGGCTCAAAAATATCTCCGTCCGCAATGCCCCATTTATTCGCCTCTGTGGAGATCTTTTCGCCCTTCATAAAGTTTGTGTATCCTTGTCACGACGGAGCTGATAACCATAGGGATTTACTCCGATTTCCATACCATCCCAACTAACCATGCGATCGCTCGTTGAGTGGTCTCTCTAGACCTCAAGCTAGACCGAGCCCTTACTCAACTGGAATTAGAGCTTATGTATTCCAGGGTCTCTCTCATCCATATTTATCACATTTTCTTTTCTCCATGTTAACCATACGTTTGGAGATGGGATATTCCAATCTTCAAACTCCTACTTGGTGGGATCAAATATGCTGAACAATGTCCAACATAGACCCAACGCCTTCCAAGCCTGTGGTCTTCCCATCGGTTGAAGAGTTTAAAATCGAACGAATATTTCCTATTCGAAATCTTGTCGATAGAAGAGATGTTAACAATGGAACAACCTCACAGAATGTTGATGATGTTCCCTCATACACCTCAAACCATCGATACTCTACCTTGGCTCAAGAAGCTCAAGGTAGAGCAGACAATGTGAACGAGAGACACATTGATGAGTCCAACGAATCCAACTTCTATCCACCGCCTTATCCACCTATACCCTCTGACGATACAATTCGCAGACTGCCTGGAATCTCGATTAAAAACCATTCAACGGGAAGTGGCAGTGATGAACGATCATCCGAGTCTGAGAAAAATAGGAAGATATCCCAACGTTCACAATTGGTCCCCTCAAAACATGGCCCTCCAGGTATTGCCCCGGGTGAACCTGTGGGCACCGAGGAACAGCCACTCTACAAGTGTGAAGATGAACCTATACACATTCCAGGGGCAATTCAACAATATGGGGCATTGGTCGCCTTAAGATACAACGATCAAGGGGATCTTGTTCCTCGGATTGCCAGCGAGAATACGTTCAAGATATTGAAATATACGCCGGAACAATTGTTTACTCTAAAGTCTTTTCTTGATGTACTTGGTGTGGACGTTCGCGAAGACTTCATTGCACGGGTGGATCATGCTCTTCGAGCTGCCAGCAAAAATCTATGTTCTGACACGCGCCTGGATATATTTTCCATGTCGGTTGTTGCACATACAGGATTGGTAAATCTCTGGTGCGCAATTCATATATCCAAAAACACTGATGATTTGATCATCTGTGAATTCGAAGAATTTTCCGACAACATATTTCATCCTGATGGGCTTCACACTGCGAAAGATTTACCAAAAACCCCAACGCGAACAATTGACAATGATATAGTGCTTGGAGAACGGTTAAAAAGTATCTCCAATAGAAGTCAACCGTTACGTGTCTTGCAAATCGCCAAACGAAAAGGCAGGCATGCCGTCGGTTCCCTGGAGGTGTTCAATGCTATGACACAAGCACAAGAACAACTTGCTGCTTGTACTTCCGTTCAGAAGCTTCAAGATGTGGTGGTCGGCCTCATATTTGACTTGACGGGCTTTCATCGTGTCATGTTTTACCGATTTGACACCGAGAAAAATGGATGTGTAGAGGCTGAGTTGGTCAACCCCAAAGCAAGTGATGATATCTTCAGAGGGTTACATTTCCCAGGTTAGTTTTTGGTTGGACAGTTCATTTTCTCATTTGACATTGACCAATAACTTTTTTACCTTGCTAGCTTCGGATATTCCTAAGCAAGCTCGCGATTTATACAAAATCAACAGGATTCGAATTTTATATGACCGGGACGAAGAGACTGCACGACTAGTAAGCACGGAATCCATTACTTGATTGGTTTCTGTTAAGTTAGGCATCACGTTTTTTCTTGGCCAGACATTAGAAGCCTGATCGCTCGAAAGTGCATCTCGAAACTTTGAAATGGACATTGTCTTATAGCATTGATGCTGAAGCAAAGCCGAACGCTACCGTGCTGATCATCTTATAGGTCTGTCGTGACGAATCGGATTTCGAAAAGCCATTAGACTTGACACATGCATATTTACGTGCCATGTCACCACTTCACATAAAGTATCTTTCGAATATGGGAGTACGCTCAACAATGTCAATCTCTATCGTGATTGACGGGGATCTCTGGGGGTTAGTAGCATGTCATGGGTATGGTAATAGCGGTGTTCGTGTAACTCTACCAATGCGCGAATTGGCCAGAAACATTGGAGAATGTGCATCAACAAATATCGAACGATTACTGATGCAGCAACGTATCGAAGCTCGAAAAGCACCGCGTCAGACTTCAGGAAAGACACCTTCCGGGTTTATTGCGGCATCCTCCAATGATTTGCTACGCGTATTTAATGCCGACTTCGGCCTTCTCAACATCCAGGACGAAGCACGAGCTATTGGAAAACTTCGCCCCTATCGAGAGGCCTTAGCGATTCTTGCGCACCTACAATCTCGGCGCTTTACGGAAATATTTGCCACGCACAATATTGCCAAAGACTTACCAAAAATAAAGGATCCGTCGGGGAATAATTCTGTAGCTGGTATACTCGTCATACCTCTTAGCACTGGCGGAAATGACTTTTTGGTTTTCTTCAGAAGAGGTCAACTTCGCGAAGTCCGGTGGGCGGGTAATCCTTATGAGAAAATCAAGAGGACTGATGGTCAGTACCTAGAACCAAGAAGTAGTTTTAGACGCTGGACGGAGACTATCAAAGGCACTTCCAAAACATGGAATACTGATGACTTCGAAACTGCGTCTGTATTAAGTCTTTTGTATGGAAGATTCATTGAGATCTGGCGACAAAAGGAATCAACGGGACATAATCGAATGACTCGGCTCCTGATAAAGAACACAGGTCACGAAGCCCGCACTCCACTAAATGCCGTGGTTAACTATCTCGAACTGGCACTGGAGGATAAAATCGAGTCCCCAACTCGCGAATTGCTTATAAAAGCCCATAAGGCTTCAAGATCTTTGATATATGTGATTGATGATCTGCTGAAACTCACCAAAGCCGAAAATGGTCCGGTCAATTCAATCAAAGATGTTTTCGACCTCTCAGCTACAGTCTCAGAAGTTATGTCAGCTTTTCGAAAAGAAGCAGTTCGAAAGAGCTTAGATCTAACTGTCACTATACATCAATGTATACCAGAAATGGTCAAAGGTGATGCTGCTCGATTACGGCAGGTTATTTCCAATCTCACAAGCAACGCGTTTCAAAACTCCGTGGCTGGTGGTGTCAAAATTGACATTCGGCCTTTACAGATATGGCCAAAGAGTACCGTAATCTCTATCACAGTCCAAGATGTTGGCCATGGAATGTCCGAAACACAACTGGATGAATTATTTCAGGAATTTGAGCAAATATTGGACGAGACAGATGTTCCTACCCCTACAAAACCATCACCATCAAGTGACACGAGAGAGACTCTTGGTCTTGGCCTTGCTGTAGTAGCTCGATATGTTCGTAACTCCAACGGCAAAATTCGAGTACATAGCGAGAGAGGAAAAGGGACAATATTTGGCATTGAGTTACCATTCGAACATGCCGCGAGTCCAGCAGATATCCCAGAATTTTCAATCAGCAATAACGGAAGACATATTCGTTCACTATCTGAGACGGGTAGTAGCTACGACGACAGCGATCGGATAACTTCTAGTTATACACATTCGACTTTCGGGGGGACCCCACTAGCAACCCCAATTGAAGAAGGTTCATCTTCCGCGACATCATTCTTTGATGTCGCATTTTCTTCCAAAGAAGATCCCATTATTACGTCGACGGCGCGCAGAATGTCAAGCACACCTTCATTAACTACCTTTAGTTGTATGTCAACAAATAAACCACTTTCAATCTTAGCAGCGGAGGATAATCCTATCAATGCCAAACTTCTCCACAGAAGACTTGGTAAACTTACACACAGAGTTGAAATTACAAATGATGGACAATCATGTCATGATTACTACAAATCTCAAAATAAAGGCGTTGATGTCATCTTGATGGATTTACAGGTGTGTTATTTATTCTTTTGAAGGAAAGATCAACTTTTTACTAAACGATAAATAGATGCCTCTGGTTGATGGTTCTATGGCCACGAGAATGATCCGTCATTTCGAAAGGGATCATCCGGAATTACATAAAGCAAGAAAAAGAGTTCCTATTCTTGCTGTTTCGGCCTCTCTTACCGAGGAAAATCGTTATGATTATATCGAAGCTGGGTATGTTTATTCACACACACACTTATATATATATATATATTGTTTTCCATACTCCTTATATTTCACATGAACAAATAAACTAACATCTCCCTCCTAGCTTCGATGGCTGGATATTAAAACCTATAAACTTTACCCGTTTAGATTTTCTCCTCCGTGGTCTAAGTAATCCCCAGCTTAAACAACAGGCGCTCTATATACCTGGAATGTGGGAACAAGGTGGATGGTTCTTGGCTTGAATGTTACATTGCATTACATTACATTGTTGTGTTTGTTGTTGTTGCATTGTACTCGTACAAAAGTGCTTGAAGAACGAGTTATCTGTGTTTCCGGAGCGTTAGCATCTCATCTCATCTCATGTCTTTCTTTTGTTTTTTATTTCTAAAAAGGAAAAAGGAAAAAGGAAAAAAGGTATATAAACTTAAACTCGGGTGTTGGGGGTAATCGGTTAAATGGTACTAGTAGGGATCACTTACAGCTGCGGCATTGGGATTGGGATTATTACCACGTCGGTCGAACGAAGCACAGAGAAGCTTTCTTTCCCTTCTTTCTTTCTTTTCTCTTCTCTTCTTTCCTTTTTGCAACTTCATCAACGAACGGATTATTTTTATTTATTCGTTGGGTTCGTAATCGGCAATTCAGTTCGGTATTCAATTCGGTACAGGGTTCAGCGACAGCGACAGCAACAGCAACAGCGACGAAAAAGAAGATCAAGAAGGAGAAGAAGAAGAAGAAGAAGAAGAAGAAGAAGATCAAGAAGGAATCAAAAGGACACAAAACACAAACCATATAATATAATAAAACAACAGTTTCCGAAAACAAAAATCCCACGAATTTAAAGAGTAGTGGTGAGGGGCAGGGAGGGAAGGAGGGAGGCATAATTGATATCTTTTTTTTTTAGATAGATAATTAATAAATGAATGGAGAATCTAGAGAATAAGGGTTAGAAAACTTTTATATTTATATTTTAATGAATATATTAAATATATAGGTATCTAATGATGAGAAGAAAATAAAATAGTTTCTTTTTTTTAAAAAAAAAATTCAATCGATTGTTTATTACTGTGTGGTTATGATTATGATTAAGTCCCTAGGTATGGATGGGGGAGGAGGATAAAATATAATTATACATTTATTTACAAATTCAAATATTCACAACCCCTTACAGATCTTAGCATTGTAGGATAGACATTAGAGGGAATAAGAGTGTAATCTATGCTCGAGCGAGTAGAAAATATATATTAGTATACCTCAAAGTTCTCAAAGTTCTCAGACCTTCCCCATTGAAAACTCCACCCATCCATTCCGTTCCATTCCCACCCCCATACCATTCCCATGATCATTGTTGCTTGAACCAGAATCCCATATGTATCCCTCGTATGCATTGAGCATGCCTTCTCTCATCAAACCCAAAACCGAAACACCATCCATCCATCCATGTAATTTCCCCACTCCCATCCCATCTATCCATCTATCCACCAAAAGTTCCAACTCAGAATCCAAATCCAAAAATCCAAGCACCTCCACTCGTGTTCTATCAAAAACTCAACAATCTCTTCATATGGGCCCCCTTCTCACAATCACTCGGAATCGGAGGAAACTTCCCATCTCTCGACTCAAAAATATCAAGGATGCTCTGGACAGCAGTATAATAAGTTTCGGCCGTTCTCTCAAAACCCAGTGAATTCCATTCCTCTGGATTTGTTGCCGATTTGATTTCATCCCAGACGACTTTCCAATTGCGCATGGCGAGTTTGTAAGGTGCGAGGAGGGAGGGAATTGATGTGCTGGGTATTTGAGCCAAGGGGTTACAGAATGTGGAGTTCCAGATATGAACGTAGAGGACTGTAGAGGGTTAGCTTAATACAAATTCTGGGAGATAAGGGTTTTCTTACTATGAATCAGCATCTGCATGTCTTGAACAGTTAGATTGCGGTTAGATAACGGCCATGGATCTTCCTCAGCAGTTTTCGTAGGAGAGTATAGCAAAAGAAAGGCATCCTTTATCTTTATCTTTGGAAGTGGAAATTTGGAAAGACCCCCCAAATCATCATACTTTGCAGCTTTGAAATATTGCTCATTGCTAGGAAATGGTAGATCTATCTCTGCCCATTGAAGTCTTGGAGTAAGATTATTAAATATGGCGAATGCGTTGTCAAGCATCATCATTATACTTGCCGTTCTAATACACGATTCTTTGCGAATCCAATCTTTAAATGAATCTTGGTCTTTGATAACAAACCCAGGAGGATGTTGTACAGTATTCAATTCTAAGGAGCGGTAAATCTATCCAATATCATATCAGCTTCGGCTTACGGAAAAGTGTGAATTATGGTACTCACAGATACTAATCTTGCAAAGCGTTGTTGCCTAACCCGTGTTCTTGCAATCTCGTTGCCGGTCCAAAATTGAACAACTACGATGAGATACGCGCCCTGAAATTCCTCTAACTGGTATTGCAGCCATTCTTGAGATGAATTGCTTTTACGCTCCGCATAAGTTCTACCGGGTAAGTCAAATTCATCATTAAACCCATTTATTGAGTAGATGTAGGTTTCTATGATGTCCAGAAGAAGCTTTCCTTCCGTTGTCTCATTTGCCTCCGTAGAATACTAAAGATTCATTAGCCATTTAGTCCCGGAGTAGTTCAGATATTTAACTTTGCTTACCATTGCACCAAGACTCGTCATGGAAAGAACTAAGGGTAATGCAGCTGTGCACGGATCAAAAGTAGCTTGGTGAACCATAGGTGCATGATGATGCCAATTCTTGAAATACAATTTGATACGCGCAGCAATAACTGGGGCTGTTATGCGCTCAATTGCTTCAATAACTTCCTTTGATACACCATTGGCTCCGACCAGTGAGTTTGCAGCATGTCTCAACTTCCCCCGTATATCAAAGGCGCATTGTTCCAGGACATTTCGATCGTTGAACGTTTCGTCTGATGACCACGGATTAAAGTTGTCTGTGGGCAACTGCCATCCGTGCGTTTGTCTTTCGAATGTTTCGAATTCCATGTCATGAAGAAAGTTTACCCCTGAGTCCATCTCCATGTTTGACGTGTAATCAAAATTTGTCACATTTTGGTGCATCATATCTCTTCCGGCCCATGGCTGTATTGTACCTTGAGGATACAAACTTATGTATTCTGCGGCTCTGTCTTTTGGGCTCACGGTAGAAGCTTTTGGAAACTCCCGCATAAACTCTACTTCGTTCGGTAAATTCAATAAGAAGCTGATCGAATTTCGATCCGATATAGGTTCCGGAGTGCCAGCTAGGGAAGTTAAAGACCGGGGAGGTGGCACTTCGGGGCTTGGTGAAGCTTTTGTCGAAGAAGCGGAATCTTGAGTATGATGTTAGCGCAAATCACAACATTTCTTTCCGAGATGTTTAAAGGAGCATACTTGAACTTCGAGTTTTTACACAAACTCTTCCAAATTCCTTACATTTGCGACAGGGTACTTCATTGTCACATTTGACCTTTAGCCTCGAGCATTCGTCGCACGCGTGCCGTTTTCGTCCTCGTTCTAAAGAATCTGGAATAGCGGCTGAGCCGCGATGGTCGCATCTGCTGAAATGATCTCGGAGAACATCACTGTGGTATATTGTTAGTAGTTATTATTGCAAAGTCGATAAAGGTACATAGTTATGTGATCCCCCGGGTACTTGCCTGCGTTTAAAGGTTTTGGAACAAAACATGCAGCTGTATGGGCGAACACCGGAATCTAGATTTTGCACACGTCAGGTCCCTCCACAATAGATCGATGGATAATAGCACAGAGCGTGGCTTCGGCACTTGGAGCTCTGAAACAATAAGAGTACATACGTTGCTGTTGATGTCGAAGCAGATGTGCCTTGCGTTGGAATTTCTTTCCACACTGGCTACATTCAGAGGGACTTTGAGACTGGCTTTGAGCCTCCATTTTGACGGAACCATTGTGGTGGGAACGTGGAACTTCGGATGTTTAAAGATATCAGATTCATGGTTCTTGCGCAAGAGAATTTGTGGGGAAACAACGTTCAATGGAACGGGTCTTGCTCCTGCCGAAGCAAGCTAAGAGCGAAGAATGTTGGAGAGCAGGTTATCTATACTAGTCTTGGTTCTCTTAGAGTTCTTAGAGTTCTTAGAGTGTGTTATTAGTCGACAAGTATTGGAAATGGACTCAAAGGAGAAATAATAAATGGGTTTTAGCATTATTTGATCAACATAATCGGCTACGCTAATGAAGTGTGGCTAGGATGGGTGTACTAAAGATAATACGAGTGAGTGTATACAGATAGATCACATTTTACATTTTATAATTTACTATTCATAATTTTATAATTTATTACTTATTACTTGTTGTTTTTAATTTATAATTATACATACTGCTAAACACATCTTCCAGCCTCGACCATCAGATAAGCAGGTAGCAAGATACACCGAAATCCTTGGCCTTTCCTGACGCGTAGACCCCAGATGCCCCAAATCCCATAATGGCACACAGAACTCCGTAGATATTCTTAACCGCCGTTGCACGCTATACCATACCCTACTGCAGTCTGCAGCACCGCAATATACCCAGATATTGGGCTGAGGGACCGCCTGTAGATCTATTTCCTAATAAGGTTTGACTGAGATTGAACTATGCTGGAAGCCAAGCTACATATGAAGTAATAACAACGATCATATAACAAACTACTTGGAAATTGCTTGTTTGCTTGTTTGCTTTCAAAGCAAAAGAAACACCAATGAGTCAATGACAAATGACAAATGATAAATTTCCCATTTCCAATTATTCCAGATTCTCATCACCATCACAGATCAATCATCCCGGAGATGAAAGGTGCCGGCCAAATCAGGCACACACACCAAAAATAAAAAAGTCAAAATTAATGCCATGTTATTTCCCGAATGCCGAGTCACGCGCTTATTTCAAACAGGATATACTCCGTGCAAACTCAGCCATTCCCAATCTCCTTGACGAAGCTTCCATTTCCGGCCCGCCCCAGATGTCATTTTATTTTATATTCTCGCGACAATTCCTCGTTCTCGGATGCATCGCGGCAAACGGTCCTCGTAAGACGTATATCCACTCTTATAATCCCATGCACTGCCAACCTCATCCCATTCTCCACTAGTACTGTACTTACCCAGCTCGCTTCCTTGAAATATTCGACTTTTCGCTTTCATCCGCAAGCAGACTTCCGGCGAGAGACGGACATATACCCTAATCGCTTACGGATAACAGCCAGCGATAACGATCAGCGTTATATCATCACAATCATCACCATTGAGGCTATTCAATAAGCGCTTGACAGGCGGATAGAAAAGTTCCAACAAAATCTACGTATCGGCTTGTGCCCAGGACGGGATATTTGTGTGGGAGTACCTAGGTATTCAATGCCGGAAGATCAGTGAACTCATTATCCTTGAGCGCAGTGAGAAACCATTTGACGTGTTTTATTTTGCCTACTTTGGGATTCGTGGGGTGACGTGTATATGGTGGTATTAACGTGCCAGTACTCATAGAGTACTCGTATTGACTTCTCGGAGCCGAGAACGCTCTTAAGGGACGCGAGAGCTCGCATACAGCTGCGCAAAAACCTTGCCTGCACAGGCAACAAAGTAATTTTTTAGCTAATCGAACAATAGAAGTTTAGGACCCATCACAGCGCTTAAGCTTAAGCTTAAGTTTTGGGCATGGGGAGGTTATCTTGACGAGGATAAGGAGGCCTTACACTGCCTGACACTGGCCGCAACTATTGTGTCCACAGTTGCTGCATGTTTCTTTCCATTGGATATTTTGAAGATAACACTATTGTGAAGGAGAATTAGCATTTCTTCCTGCAGGCAAAACTCGTTTCCAACGTGGCAAGTTGGGCACATACAATGCAGCACTCCCATCCCCATTGAGCATGAACGACGCAGGACATATCGCAATAGGAAGTGGAGGTCCACGAACGTGATGAAGTGTTGTATATCTTGGCAAACAGGGATTGTCAATGTTCAGAGAGGTCTTGAAGAGCTTGAAATTGCTTCTTGAGGAATCCTTGGAGACCGAATGTTGCAGTCGAAGACACAATAGTAGAAACAGATTACAGGAACATCATTCATTAAATGCATGTTCAGATTTTTGTGTCGGCATCCCTCAGGAGGACAGATCCTCAGTATACCATTGTGCATTTTAGACGGAGACAGGCTGAATGTCAAAAAAAAAAAAGGCCGAACATTGGATGCGAAGAATGGCATTTACACACACACCCCACCTGCTTGCTTTATCGGGCCCCTTATTATCTACCTTTATTCACGCTCCTGCACAATAATGTTGATGTTTGTAACTAAACTTCTACTGAAGTTGTGCACATCCTCAAATTTTCGAAAATGAAATTCGCCGACGTGGTTGTATGTTATGTTGCCAAGAGGCTCTATTATGACGATATGACCTAAGGTGTTACAGCCGCCGCTGCAGTTGGCCGATTCGAAAGCTAGAACGCGCCCATATGCACCCCGCAATTTCGTGTATCCTACCTTCCTGGCATAGTTAATCACATGAGATAGTATGTCGGCTTCGCAGAGGTTGTTTTCCAGCTGTTATATTAGAAAGATCATCTTGTCCAAAAGAACACAAACTTTGGTAACGACAGTGATTTGTGGCATCTTTACAACTGCCCACCGCCACACTCGTGGCCGCAGGCTTTATAACAGTTTCCTGCACACCCACAAAACAAGCAGTGCGGTACTCAGGTATATAAATGAATAGCACGTAGATGACCCAAAAAGCCGATGATACCTGATAGCAAGTGACAAAATCTTTTGCAAAAAGAGAGCCAACGTGTGTTCATGACCAACGCAGCTGACAAAGAATCGGGTCATCTTTTGATCATATCGTTCATTAAGCATTATCCAGAAGACTCGTGAGCAAATCCAACATCCCCTCAACACGTACCATTGCAGAAGATACTCTGCCAAATTCACGGCGCACAACATATAGCATGACAGGATTGATGCACAGCGACCTCTTGTCGGAAACGACCTAGACCATCATTATCAATAACCCTTTAGCTAGTTCTCTCTTTTCCTGGTTGGGGGAACGAAAGGCTGTGTTGTGCGACTACCCCAGCCATTCATGCTCCTTTTGACACCAAGAGTCTTTCTTACACCACCCGAACCTTGTGCTATTGCCATACTCGTGGTATGTAATGTTCTCGCGGGACGAACTAACGACATAATTGCTGGTTTTGCTGTCAGACCAGGGACGGGAGCATCTGGCACCGGCTCAAAATTAGTGCTGGGCTTTTTTGCTCTTGATGGAGAGCTAGACAGGAAGATATAGCTATCATTCTGCTTTCCTTCAATTCGATTATTATTTGGTCGAGATAGGGCTGCACCTGTTCCTAGGCGGTGACCTGTAAGAAGAGGTGGAAGAGTTTCGCCATCATTTTGCGATGGCGATTGCATCACTTCTGCAGGAGTGTTATTTCGATGTCTATGTAGTTGCACACTAGCCCTGATCTTTGTTTCCCGAAACTCATCGACTATTGGTGCTGACTTAATCTCCTTCTGTGGCTCTTGCTTCCCGAGAAAGCCCAAGAGTGTGCCTTGCCCATTAGGTGGACCTTTAGATGAAATTTTAGAGCTTTTAATGGTTCCTTTTGTTGAAGCTGATCTCGCTTCACCAATGGTTTGATTTGATGATTGTTCGCCAAGGACTTGAAGATGAGAGCCAGCACTAACAAAGCCACCACCCAAGGTAAAGTTCGATACTCTTTCCATCGTTGTCATGGGGGTATTACTATAGACTACGCCGGAAACATTTCCCATTTGGTCCGTTGTATCAACCCGTCGACGTTTAGGTGGTCGCTGACCCTTGGTGAAATTGGGATTGCCGTTACCGAAATTCCACTTGGACTCATCTTGTTTGTCATTCTCCGGCTCCAAGGAGTAGTATGTATCCTCAGTGAGTTCGAGGCAAGCGGAAGACTCTGCAATCGACTCCTTGGTAGGAAATGGTCGTCGTAAAATTTGAGCTAGACATTGAACAGTATTAGAACGCAGAGGAGGGCCCTTCTGGTCTAAGTGTGCTCTAAGGCCTCTAGCAGAAAGAAATGGGCAGGTTGTTGTTAACTCATCTAGTGAATTTTTCAAAGGGCAACTCATGTTGAGCAAAGCCTTTGCCCGAGTCATAGCCACGTACAACAATCTTCGTTCTTCGTCAGTATCCTCTGCTCTAGAGTGTGGCATAGAGCCTTGATATGCCCCAGGAATGAAAACTATAGGCCATTCAAGGCCTTTAGCAGCATGTATGGTAGATATAGTAATTTGGGGTGTGCTACTTCCTTGGTCATCCTCCTTCTTCACTTCCGAAGCCAATGCTACATTCGCTAAAAATTGAGTGAGGGAATCGGAAGCGTCCTCTTGCTCCAGACCATCAATCTTTGGGAGAGAGTCGTCCTCATAACCATTAGATATTAATCCCTGAAAATCCGTGGCCTGGGCGATAAGCTCCTTCACGTTGTCCCACCTCGCCTTGTGAATGTCACCATGTTGTAACTCCAGCCACTTTTCGTAAGATATTTTTTCAATGATAAACTCCATAATTTTTACGATTGAGTTTTCACGGCTGAGAGGATCAGCAATCTTCTTCATGCCTGTCAATATGATGTCAACAAAGATAGAAAGGCTTTTTCCGACTGATGTTGTGAGCTTGGTTTTCGTCCTGCGCCTTCCCTGCACGGAATCAAGGATTAGTGCCCAAAGTGTCATTTTTGATTGCTCTGCCTCCTCAAGCAAAGATTTTATCGTCGTCTCGCCGATCCGCCGTGAAGGAGTATTAATAATTCTTGCCAAAGCATCGTTATTGTCAGGTAGATTAATCACTCTTAGGTAATCTAATAACGTTTTAATCTCTACACGGTCGTAAAATCGAAGACCACCTGCAATATGTTAGTCTAAATGCAGAACGCAGCTACCTTCTCAAGGAAGCATTGAGCTGGTTGCAAGCTGCACATTTGGCAGACAGGAGATGATGCTTACCGACCATGCGATAGGCTATACCCGCTTTTCCTAGCGAGCTTTCGATGACTCGTGAGAGTGATGAAGATCGTAGCAAAATAGCGAAATCATTCAAGTCTAGCAGGTCACCCGTCATGCCCATCGTCCTTTGTATTTCTTGAATAATCCATTCAGCTTCTTTCTGAGCCGTTGCAAGCTTGCGGAGCACTGGCCGTGTGCCAACAATGTGAGTAGGCAGAAGAGACTTTGCAATTCTGGATGAGTCTTGCTCAATCACATTCAGTGCCGTGAGAAGTATGGCGCCCGATGAACGGTAATTTTCCTCCAATGAGATAGTAACCGTATCCGGGTATTGTCTAAGCATCCGTTTGTAGTTTTTAATTTCGGCAGCTCGAAAGCTATATATGCTTTGATCGGGATCGCCGACGATGGTGATTCGTTTCTGATATGCAGCAAGTAATCGCATGAGATCAAATTGCACAAGGTTTGTGTCTTGAAATTCGTCAATCAAAACGGCCTCGATATTGGATACGCAGGAAGGGTGAAGTCGTAAAAGCTCGACACATCGTACAAGAAGATCGTCATAGTCAAGCAAGTTTGAAAGCTCTAAGGTCGCTTGATATTCAGCATGAACAATCTCAAATTCTTGTGCATCTACTGTCTTCCCCTTGGCATCGAAGGGTTTACTCGCAGATGCGGAACCTTTTGCTTTCAGAGAGCTTATGCGAGACCGAGCGACTTTAGGGTCTATATTCAAATCCTGCCGCTTCACAATCCTTTTAATTATGGCCAAAGAATCGGACGAGTCTGCAATTCCGAAGTCTTTTCGAATTCCTATCAAATGGCCATATCGTGCCAGGTAACGTCGCGCAATGCTGTGAAATGTTCCCAATATCAATTTAGATTCCGTCCCATTCCCTATCAGCTTTCCAATTCTTTCCTTCATCTCTCGAGCCGCCTTGACTGTAAATGTCGCCACAATTATATTCCATGGTTGCAATCCTTGGTGCAATAGCCAAGCAGTTCGCGACGTTAAAGTATGTGTTTTCCCGCTTCCTGGTCCTGCTAATATAGCGAGAGTATCTGCTTGCGATGAAACTGCGGCTCTTTGTGAGGCATTAAGACCTATGAGAAGATTATCAATAGTCATTTCGGTGGCTTGAGCCTGCATTGGCGAATGTTTCAGGCGTGCGTGCTTTTGAGCATGTGAGGAGATTTGGATGGATGAAATAAAATAGGCATTTGTTATTTCCTTCGACTGAGGCCATCTAAGCCAGGCAATAAGTGAGGTAGAGGGTTGAAAGACTTTTTTGATTCAATTATATTCGGATTCTGTGTTGGAAAGGGGACTTGACAGGAAGGAGGGTGTTGACGGACGACGCGGTTTTGGATTAAGGACCGGCGTATCTTTATCACGCTAATACGCGAAGTCACGCTTTTCGAAGCATCTTGATAAACACGAACAAGTGCGGGATAAAATATCATTATTTATTTAAATTTAGCTTTATGACATGAAAGTCGAATTCACTATGATATTTTTCCAAGTTAAATACGGATAATACAGATGTGATGAAGTATATGAGGCCCAAAACTCCAAAATAATGCTCCACAAAGATGTTTTCCAAACCATGCAATACCTAACATCCTTGTTAACAACAAATACCACCCCTATATGCCGTGCCTATATTCCATGCTATGATGTCAATAGCGATGGAAAGTTGTGCTAGATGGCACCGCACGCCTTATTTCTGCAACTCAAGCATTGCAACAAGCAACCGCCACCGCCGCTCCCAACAGCGAGCTTTCTTCTGCATACACCAGCTCCACGGTCCCGTTTTTCGCACCACTCGCTTCGATCAACCTATCGATGTACTTTTGAGTATTTTTGCGAAATCCGGGATAATTTTCCAACACAGATCCATTATAGGCAATGACCGTGTGGGCAGAATCTGAGGGTGAGATTGATTCGGACGTATTACGCATGTGCCAGAGAGCGTGGACGCCAGCAGCGATGAGGCCGCTAGAGCGTAGAGTTACGCGGGAAGCTATCAATCGTAGAGCTCGTAAATCGGCTATGGTGGGAATATGAGGGGAGGGATGACGGTTGGTGAACACTTCAATTGCGGTGGTAAGTTGGGGAGTTTTATCGCTAAGGGTGGTGTCAGCCTCATTAGCAACTAAATTTCGGGGAATGAAGCTGACGGGAGCTTGTTTAGGAGGCTATTGATGACAAATGACTTACTCTTCAATATATGAGAGAGTTTCGGTCTCTAAAGAGTACTTTTCCCTCAAATTTGCTGGCACTACTCCCCCAAATAGTCCTGCGCTCTGAATCCCATCTATCAACATCAAACGCACGATCTCACCAATATATCCGCCACTCGCAAAATGTTCGAATGGCTGAAAGTCTGGTAGAGGGTGGTTTTCTCTCAATTGTTTATCCCATTTCGTGTATGGAAGGAATTTACCACCGAACATCGACAGTTCTGTGTTGACAATAACATGCTTAGCGCAATCATGCCAGGATGCAGGTCGAATGCCAAATTTGGGCTGTGAAAAGATGTGGACAGGAAGATGAGCCGCAGCGTTCAACCCAGTTCCTAATATTAGTGCGAAACGAGTTGTAGGGTCCATATATGCTTTGGAGAGTAATGTTGCCGAAGAATCGTTCACAATGGCGTTCAGCTGAACGTTAAGACCTTTTTTAAAGCAAGAATCTTCGATAAGGCCACCCAGATCTCTCCCGACCAGCCCATCAGCAGCACAAAAGCCCTTTCCCATCCCCATAAGAAGACCGCCCTTGAGTGATGTTTGACTGTGAAACTACTGTCAGCTGACTTCGAAATTTTATGAACATCCTGGTGATCATACTCAATAGGAAAGGACCAGGACAGTCCCACAGATAAAGGTGTCTCCGACATCTCGTATCGTTCCTTCTCCCCAGAAAGAGTGTCCAGAATTCGATCTGCCATCCAATCGAAGAATTCTACACCAACCAGCTGCCTCTCCACATTCTTGATCTTGAAAGACTTTAATTCAACAATCTCAATCTCCTTCCCCTTGCACTCTTTTCCTGCGAGTTTAATCAAGGCTACCCGAAAAGTCGAGCCCCCAACATCTAGGGCTAAGTACGTTCCACATTCATGACCGCTAGGAAGTTGATGATTGTATGAAGGCAACATGCATTGTGGATTTTCTAGTAGGCTCTCAGCAAACTCTTTTCTCAACCCTTCGGAAAACGCCAATAAGGAGGCCTCCTTCGTAGAATCTCTAAAGGCAGCTTCGACCTCATCTAGAAACTTCTTGACTTTTGCCAGGGAGGTGTCTTTGGCGTCGACATTTTCGTCCTTGACTTTGGGGAAAGTTGAGGGCGCAATCCAAAACTTGATAATGATCTCAAAGATAGATTTAGTTTTCAGAAAAGATTTGATAAAGGCGGCATAGAAAGCCTGTCGTAATCTATGCATGGCAGCGATGAGCGGCTGCATCATATGAAGTCCTCATACATATAAGGAATCCTCAAGGAAGCCAGCACGCTAAGATACGAAGGTGCTAGGGTAGTGCTGATGCGGGCCCGCTTTGCTCCATAACACACACGACAAAGATGGAGAAGGGAACTTGGACAATTGAAAGTCTGATAAGATTTTGACTTCATTCAATCGAGTAAGAACAATGGATCCAATGAATGTAGATGTAAAAGGGCAGGCAAGATCGGTGGTGGGATAGTGGTATCCGATGTGAAAAGTACGGTACGTAGTAGGAATTTTACCCTCGTGCTCGTAATAATGTGGTTAACAACGAATGGATGTACTTCTCTTGGAAGGATACAATTGCGCCATCATTCATGAAAAAAGCATATCAACAATTGGTTACGCACTCCCAAAAATAGATTGATTTGATAGGATAAGAAAAAGCTTCAAGCCAAGAGTGAAAAAATACTAAGAATAATTGGGAGTAACATCGTATCCTCCCTCAGTCGGTTCGTTTTGCTATAAAATTGGATCTTAATACCGATGGAAATAAATTAATCAAAGTTACCTTCTTCAATGGAACGAGGTCCTCAATAATAGAGACGCAATTTGATCCGTCCCTCCGTTTTGTTTTAGAGCTTGGTTGTTCTGCATTGTTCAGCAGGACAAGATTCTCGAGATGATCCAAACTGGATGTACCCCTGCATAATGGCTTCCCCATCTTTGGTGTACTGGTGGTGATATCAATGGGAGCATAGCAGCATAGCAGCATCGCATACCTAAGGAAATTGGTAGAAGCAGAGAAACATTCCAGGGGGTTTTCTTATGAGTCAAAAATTCACAATTTTTGGTTCGTATAGTATTAAAATTAAACTGTATGTGGTAATGTTAGTGGGTTTTTTGGGTTGTCGATACAATAATAAATTTGTTGCTTTGCTGTTGAAAGCAACGTTACAATTTGGTGGGAGAGCATTTTATTCTCCGTGCGACCATAAAAGCTTGGATGTTTTGTACTGTACTCCAGACAAAGCTAGCTGCAATAGATACCTAGGCATGGAGGAAATGCGAGGAACATCCTCGGGGATACAAAAATTGGGAGATGATTCAAGGAATTAGCTAAAGCATTATCTCTCTCACCTAGAGCTTACTAGATCCCTTTCCCAAGACTCCTAAGACTGAATGAAGACTTGAAGATCACTTCCAAACGATGAAGGAAGCCGTTTGTTCTTAGTGTACATTTCTAACCCACCAATTCCGAACCGGACAAGCATTAAGCGAATGTAACTGGACAACTAGTAAACGACCTTTTGAATTTCGCGATTCTTTTCCTTGAAACTTCACTGCTCCAGTACAGATCTTGAGACTTGAGAATCTTCTGAAGCTTGTATCGTGGTGTAACTGTACAATGACAATGACCAACATTTGAGTTGGGTGTGCCCCAATACTGGTCAAATCATTGATCACTTTGTCTGATCTTTCTTACTCGGGCTCATTACCATTACCGTACCATTACCATTGCCGTTAGTGGAGATAGATCTCTCGTCGAAATCCTGGATTGATCACCAAAGTGGATTTCAAGGTTGTGCCTTGTGGGGTAAGCAGATTACTATCTTTCTATCAGGAGGCTATCAGGGCTAGGTCGTCGTGACGTTCCATACACCATCATGATTTGGAGGGGTAGAGTGACAAAGTTCAACGTCACAAACCTTGAACTGTCCAATGAATAGCGCTACCACGAGGAGATGCTATCAAGGTTGGTTGCTGGTGGTAGGATTTCCTTGTAGTGAAGTCGGTGTCTGCTACTTTAATGAAATCTTCATGGGGCGACACCGGTAGGGACGGTAGTTGTGGTGGTAGGTGTGGTAGGTATGGTAGGTATGGTAGGTCAACCTTTGATAATTTCTTTGATTACGTTTGGTTTTATATTCACTGCTCGCATTCCGCATATTCCGTATCTGGGAAATTAATCAAAAGTCAAATCTTCTGAACTTATTATACAGCGACAAACAGCCACCTTCATACTTTCATATCTACAAAAGAAAACATCCTCACACCCTCGACACACACTTGAGATTCAACTACATTCAAAATGAGACTCATCATCAGAGACGGTAAATCGCAAGCTTGTGCCTACGTCGCGCAATACATTATTGGTGAGATTTTTCCTCCAGTTCAATTACAAACACTGTTTAACATCTGATTAGATCGCATCAATGCCTTTGGACCAACCCCAGAACATCCTTTCGTCCTTGGTCTTCCTACCGGCTCTTCTCCTATCGGTATCTACAAGATCCTCGTTGAAAAGTACAAGGCTGGTGAAATCTCATTCAGAAATGTCGTCACTTTCAACATGGTAAGTTCTAACCCTCGCACACAAGCTACATGCAACTTTACTACCAAGAGTCGGATCACTAACATGGGTAAATTGCACAGGACGAATATATTGGCATCCCGCGCAATCACCCAGAAAGCTACCATACATTCATGTACAAACACTTCTTCTCGCACGTCGATGTCCTTCCTCAAAACGTCCACATCTTAAATGGCAATGCCGAGAACCTCGAAGCAGAATGTATACACTATGAGGAAACTATCAAAGCAAAGGGTGGAATTGATTTGTTCCTTGGAGGAATTGGACCAGATGGTCATCTTGCATTCAATGAGCCTGGATCTTCTCTTGCTTCTCGTACAAGAGTCAAGACTTTGGCATATGATACTATCATTGCCAATTCCCGATTCTTCGGTAATGATCTGGAAAAGGTACCAAAGATGGCTTTAACAGTGGGTATCCAAACCGTGTTGGAGGCCAGGGAAGTTGTCATCATTATTACTGGAGCACACAAGGCATTGGCATTGAAGAAATGTATTGAAGAAGGTGTGAACCACATGTGGACTCTCTCAAGCTTACAACTTCATCCTCATCCGATGATTGTTGTGGATGAAGATGCAACACTTGAGCTCCAGGTTAAAACTGTCAAGGTAGCTACCCCACTTTACCCCGCCATCCACTTACCCCTCCATTAGCCCTTCCATCACAACCATACCCAACTCAATGCTAACAAAATATTCAACAGTATTTCAAGTCAATTGAAAAAGTTGCCGCCGCTCAAGGTTTCGAACAGATTCTTCCATCTGCTGCTCGTACAGGTCCCAAGCGTACTATACCTGTTCCACCCATGCCAGAAAGCTTGGTCAAGGAAGCATCTACCATTAAATCCCCACAACCTCTTACAACCACACTCTTAGCCGCGCCAGCTACTGAGTACCCAGTCCGCAGAAGCCACACTCCAGAATTGATTCCTGACCGCATGGGCAGCAGAATCTTGGCAGTTTAATATCATGAATAGAGAATTGGGAACGGATTGGTGTATGGGAGGACCAAATTGAGTTGCATGCACATAAGGCAGCAAAATCCACTATTTGGTAGCGGAGTTGTTGCTTTTGAAGGGGTGTATTTTTGCAAAGCTTTTCTACTGATTTCATTTCATTTATTTTCTTTTTACATATTTGCAGGAAAAATATGTACATCTGCATTTTCTTTTGCATGATGATACTAGGTACTTCTGCTTACATTTATTTCTGGCGCCAAGGCACAGAAATCATTTACATTCAAAGTAAATTACTCCAAAAACTAAATTCCTCGAATTCTCACGAATGCCTTCATTGTATTATTAGTTATTTTAGATGAGGATAATGAGATATGAATTTATGAATATTAGATATCAAGATCGTGTTTGCGTTTAATGTGTATATCATGTTCTGTGTGTGTTTATTTTCTCATCTATATGTGTGGAGATGGATGTAGAGGTGGATGCAAATATAGATACAGATGTATTCGAAATACTTTCTTTCTTTTCTATCTATGCAATTAATGACTTCTCCTAACTTTATTTATTTATTTATCTATTCCTGACTTTACGTCTATTCTGTCTTTTTCTTAACTCGATTTAATTTGATTTGGGCTTTGGAAATTGTGGTTTTTCTGTTTTGGGTTTTTGTGTGCCAGGATTGAGATTAGGGTGTCAATTGTTTTTTAATACCAGTATAGATAGGTATAACGAGTTGATGGATAAGTTTTGTAATTTATCTTACTTTTATTTAGGTGTTTATAAATAAATAAATACAATGTGAGAAATCTGCTGTAGCAAGCTGTGCGCAGTACTTATTTTTCTAACATGAAATTTCTTTTCTTTTAGTACTTAGACTATATAGGTACTAAGTAGGTAGGTAGTCATCATTTATTTATTCCCCACCACCCCCCTCCACGCCCCCCACGCTCTCAATTGATAGGTATCAAAAGTTATCCCAACCTTCCATTCCTTTATGCATTATCCATTCATAACCTACCCAACAATCTTCCTCTCCCTCTCCCCCTCCCCCTCCCTCTCAAAAACCCTAACCCCAAATTTCCAAACCTGATCCACAACCACCCTCTTCCTCCCCTCACTCTCCACAAGCACATCCAACACACACAAATCCGCATCCATGCCCCCCTCCAACGCCCCCTTCCTATCAAAAACCCCCAACATCCTCGCTGGGGTCTCAGTAACCGCTTTCAAAGCCTGCGCTACACTACAATTTGTCCAATTTAGAAAATTACTCAAGCATTCTACAAGTGTGATGCTCGAGCCTGCGATTTTGTTGGTCGATTCGAGACGCAGGTGGATGCCGTCTTTGAGGATATATTCACCGTTCCAGGCGTAGCGGCCGTCGGGGAGTCCAACCAAGTGCATGGCGTCGGTTACGAGGATTAGACCTGAGGGGTGTGCGTTGTAGGCTAGGGTTATGGTGGTGGGGTGGAGATGGATGGAGTCGGCTATGATGCCGAAGTAGGGGCGTTGGGTGATGGGTTTGAGAGGGGGGATTATGTTTTGAGTTGTGATGGGGGTGGAAGGGGGGGTTGTGGAGGGAGAAGTGCTGGTTGTGGGGGTGGTGCCGAGGAGTCCGAAGATTCCTGGGTTGCGGTGGTGGAGGGGACGCATGGCGTTGAAGAGGTGGGTTATCATTGTTGCGCCGGCGGATATGGCCGCCGTGGCATCTTCGTATGTGGCTTCTGTGTGGCCGATACTGAAGATGATGTTGTGGGGTGGAGAGGTGAGGGTTGGGATTAGAGAGGTCATGTGTGGAAGTTCAGGAGCGGCGGTTATAAGGCGGATGTTTCCTAGAAGATTGGAAGTGCCATAACATTCGGAGAGAGTGGTGAGGTCGTTGGATTTAGGGGCGAGTAAGACGGGAAGAGGATGGATTCCATTTTTGGTAGGGGAAAGGAATGGTCCTTCGACATGAGCGCCGAGAGATTCGGTACCATCTGATGCAAGACGATTTGCTCCAGAGGGACCCAAAAATGGAAGTGCCTTGCGAGAATTATTAGTATGGGTTCAGTGACAATTTCATCGATTGCTTACATGATGATAGACTTCCGGGCGTGATGATGTGATAGTAGGTAAATGAGAAGTAACACCCGTCTTGATCAATAATTGATTGATTCGACGCAATTCCTTGCCATAAGCATTAGGATCGTCACCTTCTGGTATAGAAGCAAAGTCAAATCCAAAAGCTCCATTCAATTGTGTATCGATGAAACCTGGAGAAATAATACGACCACCAAGATCGATAATCTCGTCAGGTACACATAAGTGTGAGTAAAAAGCCTCCTGGCTTTGGATAATCTTGCCGGTGGAAGATGATACCCAAAGATCTTGAGTAACTAAGGATTCTCCCTTTAACAAACGACAGTTTGTGAACTTGGTGACTCCAGAAGTCGAGGTTGGTAGTGCCGATGGCATGGTTGTGGATGGAGAGTTGGAGTTCCAGAGGGATTGTTGGTGTAGAGAAAGGTAGATGGGTAGGTAGTTATTTAAGAAATGGGGTTGGGGACAAAGAGAAGATGATTGAAAATATGATGCGAATGATACCAAATCTCATTCACTGGAAGATTCTATAGACTCGAACCTGGAGATTCACTTGTACACAGGTAAATTGCTTCCTTACTGTAGGTAGGTACAGTACTTACTGGCATCTGACCATACCAGGCATATCTATATCTAGATGCCTGCCATAAATGATTTGATAGTACCAACCCCAACATTAGACTCAACACATGATAACCTTAAAACAAGACTACCATAGATAAACTCAAATTTTCAAGTTACTTATCGATTGTACCGTGCAATGGATGACTCAGTAGCATACATCATACATCATACATCATACAATACAATCATACATCACATCACATCATATCACATAACATCTATCTACCATATCGCCGCATTGGACTGGTATAGTTTATAGTGGATTGAGTGGAGAGGTGGGAAGGTGGAGGGAGAGGTGGAGAGGAGACGAGTTAATTGTTAGTCAACTGTTACCATCAATGTTGAAGTTGATCTGATGGGATGGTGAATGGAAAGAAATCTCCAATCTCTAATACATATGTAACGTCGTATCCTATCATCCTATCATCGGATCGTCGGAATGTCGGTAATTGGTAAAAAATGACGATGGTCGAATAATAATCCATTTGTCAAGCACACTTGGAAATAATTTGATGGTAGGTAATTAGATGCCAAGTCGCCGAAATTACCTACATAGCGGTAGTTCTGTTTGAAGAAATATTGGATTGTTTTTTTCTTTGCTGACAGTGAACATTAAAGTGTATCGTGAATTTTGTTTGAAGTAAAGCCATGGCGCAATGCACATGCACGTGGAGGAGCACAGAATAAATCCTTTAATTCCCGATGATTTCCCGATATAACCTTAATATCATGTGACCATTTCCGGGGGAGGAAGTTCAAACGACAACATCCTAGCCAACACCAACCACTTACATTTGTTCAGGTTAGTTACACCAGTTACACCAAGCTGCTGAATATGTGAGGCTGACGATTATATATCAGAAAATATCTTTTAAGCACTTCTTGAACAGTGACGAAGATACAAGAGTTGTGATGAAAACGCACATCGTCAATTTCACTCACATCGCACAAGTCTAATAGTATTCTTCACATGTCATGAAACCCTGATTAAGGAAATCTGAGCACCAGGCATCTCAGCGAACGTTGCGCTGTAATTCATAGCCTTGTTACACTTATCAGATCACAATTCGTTGAATTCAAAGTGAACAACGACATCTGCGCAGCAGCAACTACCAAGATGGACGTTACAGAGGAGGAGCTAGATCCTTTATGGAAGGATCTCGATTGGTAGGTTATGAGCCACTTATACAAAGGCTGAGAAGTAGGCTGACAAAATGAAGGGCTATGGGACAGTGAGTCTATTCTTAGTTTGCTGAGCTGTATATGGTAACAATTTACGGCTTTGCGATCATGTGTTTGATCATATGTACTGATAAGGGATCTCTGGTTCTAGATGCTTTATGATGGGATTTGAAGGGACCGAGGTTACTCCTCAGATCAGGACTCTTATTGAAGATCATCATCTAGGTGCTATCCTGTTGTCGACGAAGAATATGAAGTGTAATAATTTGTATTTCTTATTCTGCTTGTAGTGTTTCTGTTCTTCCATCGTTTCGTAATTCAATGGCTAGATGGCATTGAGCTTGGGCTTATCACGTTGATGGGTATTGACCAGCCATGTGATTTGCCTCTCCCTCATATATTCACGTGCATTGCTTTCATATGATGTTGTTGTTCTTCAAGCTTCCCCAAAAGCAAACGTTAACTTGAGTAGCTGCCCGCGAGACAGCAAATCTAGTACAGGAGCTTCAAACGATCGCACATCAAGCTGGACATCTAGTACCTTTAATCATTGCTCTTGATCAAGAAAATGGCGGCGTCAATAGTCTCTTCGACGAAGATTATATCTGTCAATTTCCCAGTGCGATGGGAATGGCAGCCACAGGATCTCCCGAGCTTGCATACGAAGTTGCCAATGCTACAGCCAAAGAGCTGTCAGCAGTTGGAGTTAATATGATTATGGGTCCATGTCTTGATGTCCTGACAAATGCTCGTTATCAACCTTTAGGTGTCAGAGCTACTGGGGATGATCCTCAAGAGGTTTCTCAATATGGTATTGCTGCGATGAATGGGTATAAAGATGCCGGAATTGCTACCTGTGGGAAACATTTTCCATCTTATGGGAACTTGGATTTCTTAGGGTCATCTCTCGATATGCCTATTATTACAGAGACCCTTGAACAATTAAGTCTTGGGGCTCTTGTTCCATTCCGAAATGCTATTCGTGAAGGAATGGATTCTATAATGGTTGGTGGATGTGCTATAGCAAATGCTGGTTTGTTTGTCTTTCCCATTAATGAATGAAATCGTTAACACTTCGTAGGGATGAATGTTATGCACGCTTGTCTTAGTGACCAAGTTGTGGATGATCTCCTACGTAACGACCTTGGATTCAATGGTGTAGTTGTTTCCGAATGTCTTGAAATGGAAGCATTAAGTCATGATATCGGCGTCAGAGGTGGTACTGTCATGGCAGTAGAAGCTGGCTGTGATATGGTTCTCCTCTGTCGTTCTTACTCTGTTCAAAGAGAAGCCATTGCAGGATTAAAACTCGGTCTCGAAAACGACATGATTTCTCGGGAACGTATCAATCTCTCTCTTAAACGAGTCCTTAAAGTCAAATCACAATGCACATCTTGGACTAAAGCTTTAAATCCTCCGGGAATCAACCATCTAGCATCTTTACATCCTCATCATCTCGCTCTATCGACTAAAGCATACGATCACTCAATAACCATCATGAGAGATAAAGGTCATCTACTCCCACTGTCGAATAGTTATTCCGAAGATGATGATGACCTTCTCCTTCTCACACCTTTGGTAAAACCATTACCTGCATCAACCGCAACTTTCAATAACGAAAATTCAAAATCTACCAATACTGAATCTGAAAAGTCGCACAGATCATCAATCATGAGCGGTGAAGGTGTATTTCGAGAATTAGGAAGAGCTTTAGCACGTCAGAGACACGGAAGATTACTTCATACATCATATACAGCAAATGGTGTTCGACCTGTTCATGAGAATTTGATCAATAGAGCAGGAACAATTATCATCATAACAGCTGATGCAACACGGAATTTATATCAAAACGGGTTTACAAAACATGTCGCCATGATGTGTTCAATGCTTAGTTCAGCTGGCAAGAAAAAGTCATTAATTGTGGTTTCTGTTAGTTCTCCGTATGATTTTGCTATGGATAAAAGTATTGGAACATATGTTTGTACTTTTGATTTTACCGAGACAGCTATGAAAGCATTGGTGAGAGCATTATTTGGTGATTTTGTTCCTCAAGGAACATTACCTGGTACACTTAGGAAAAGTAGGAAAGTACAAAAATCGAGACAACATTGGCTGGTGGAGAGTTATAATAGAGATAGAGATGCGAGGGGTCTTCAAGCACTCATTACATCTATTGAGAAGACAACCCCGCCAAATCAGCAACCTGCATTAGCTGGTGCAACAGCAGATTCATTTGAATTGGTATGTTTATTTTAATGCTTTTCATAACTCATTTACATATGATATTACTAACACTATTGTCCTTCTTTCCAGCCACCAGCATCAAACAACACCCCACTCGAAGAATCTCACTATGTCGTCCGTAACAGCAGTACTCAAGCACTCTTCGGATTCTGCTCCACTACCTACTCCCCAAGTACTCATACCGGTACTATCTCTACCCTTTTCGTTGACCCTTCCAAACGTAACCTATCAATCGGACATTCCCTCCATCAACGTGCTCTCCGTCACCTCCTCCAAAAACCCAACATTACCCACCTTCAACTCGGTTCTACCCTTCCAGCCATCTACCTCGGTATCCCTATGAGTGATCTAACCGAAGGTGCACGTCTCAAACATTGGTTCGCAACAAATGGCTGGGACGTCCTAACCCCACGATTTCTCTACACGTTAATAATCCGCAACCTCGCACTCTGGACACCCCCAGAAGGTTTACTAGCAACCATCGAACGAGTATCCCTCCAATTCGATCTAATCCACGGCCCATCAAACTCCGCAACCCAAGTCCTCGATTTCGTGCAAACCCACTCATCAAGTGTCGAAATCCATAGTCTCTACAATCTCGCCATCATGGATCCCAAATCCTGCGGTATCGTACGTGCGAAATCACCAATCGATGGGTCGCTCGTCGGTACCGTTATTATATCTCGTTCCGATACACTGCTTTCGCGCTGGATGCCTGTACTTTCTTCTTCTCCTTCTTCATATTCTCATTCTAATTCTGGCTCGAATTCTAATTCTCACATAAACCCAAATAATGGAAAAGGTAAAGAAAAAGAAGATAATAGAGGAAATGGAAAAGGAAATGGAAATGGAAATGCAGTAGGAGGAATACTAGCTCCGATCATCCCATCGAATAACGCGCAGAGAGAAATGATTTTACAGGGTTTGGTCATGTTGAGTATTCGACAGAATAAAAATAAGGGGGATGGGAAGGGAGTTGTGTTGAATTGGGTGGTGGGTGGTGATAGGGATGTTTTGTTAGGGATGGGTTTTGATGTGCTGGAAGCGTGGGAGGAGGTTGTTTGTTCGGTTGAGAGGGTGAGTTTATTTTGATTTTTTTGAGGATGCTATGGGATTTTGAGATGGGAATGGGAGGGGAGATGGAGATGGAGATTTGCTGTGAGGAGATATGCTAATATTTTTTTCTATAGTGGAGTGAGATGAATCTAGGTTGAGAAGAGAAGGAAATGGGAGTGAAAGTTGAATTTTCTTTTATGTATTTTATAATAGAGGAAATTTCCACCCAGATTATCACACATGAATAGGTATATATCTCTAGGTATATCTATCAGCTACACTATCTTATCTCCAGCCATTCATCCATCCATTCATCCATCTATCCATATCTTCATCAACAAGTCCTCTTACTAAAATTAATACTCCAAAATATTGGGTTTCTTGAGACCAGAAAGAGCATCAGATTGAATTGATTGATTCTCTAGCTAAGCAGTTAAGCTGCGAGTATATATTCAAAAAAAAAATGAAGGAATAAGGTTAGGTATTCAGCCTTCGGAATCAAAATATTGAAAGCAAACAAACAGTATACCAAAAAGGAAAGAATGAATTAAAAGTTGAGTTTTGTTTGCTCCTTATATGCATATGCTGCCAAGATCCCAGGAGGTCAACACAAAATGAGTCTATTAGTGACTAATCTCATAACACAAAAACATATAATATAACAAACTGCTCAGCATATACACAATCTATAGAACTACCCTCTACCTATTTATAGGTTACCCTTGCCCATCTCCCCTGATTATTCAGAAAGCTTATAATCTAATATACCCGTTAATAATAATAATATCCTATAAACATCGACATCTCATCTCCCCCAGACCTACTCTTTATCTATATCTATCTATCTATCTACCACCCTTCTCCTGCAGTTCCCTAGAAGACTATCACGATTCACCATTAGGATTGGTAGTGTTACGATGGTAGCAAACTGATTAATTAGGAGAGCTTGGGCCCTGTGCAAAAGCGATCAGATTTCATCGAATTAGTATGTGATCTTGGTCACCTTAAGATCGTATGCGCACGCACCATCAGAAATCACGTGATAAGGAGCCCTGAGGAGCCAGAAAGCTCCTGGGGGCTCCCTTTATCAATCATTATATAGTCAGAATAGTTTCATAGTTTAAAAGCTTCGTGCTCAACTTAATTATCAATTAGTTTACCTACATTCTACTTGATCTAGTAACGAATTCACTTCCAAGTGAATACCAGTGATAAAGCCTTAACCCACAACTACCAACCAGACGAAACCTTAGGCAGCCGCTGCCTCTAGTACAGTATCGTTACAAAGACTTTCAAAATAAATATCGAGCATATATCTATCTATACTTTTGTATTTTAAAATCACATATTTTTACAATCTTATACACAAAAACTTCTTTTGGAATTCATCTCTCTTTTTCATTTTTTTTTTGTTTCTCTGTTTTTTTTTTTATAATTCTGATTTCTGTTACGAGGTTTGCCGTCTAGATCACGTGGAAGTGCTCTAGGCTCTCGAGGTGGTTTATAACTAGGCGTCAAGCAGGGACTTAAAGTAATGACAATAATGCAATTCGTAACTAATAGTAGAGTATACTAAATGATTGATCTTGAGCACGAAGCTCTATACAAAGGAAATCCATCTTGATTATATAGTCCTTCATGCTTCTGTGATCACGTGTCTTGGTAGTTGTGTAGCCCGTCGTAACAATTTCCTTCTCATTTATATAGTTATTCAGAATATAGAGCTTGTTTATTTAGTCTAGGTGATCACATATATACATATATATATATACATAAATTACGTTTATACTTATATTCATTCACACGGAATGTTTTCATCGCCAATTTATTACTGGTCTTCTTGATTGATCTTGTGACGCCTCACACCTCCGGGTCACGTGGCATGCCCCGTTTGTATTTAATCACAGGAAAACTCCCTACTCTTGTTTTCCTTCTTCTTTTTCTCCTTAGCTTAGTATTTTCTAATACAAGATACTTTACCCAGTATTCTTGAGTGTGACAGATCTATTATCATCATTATTATTAGACTCTTAGGTACCTACTTATTCACAATCACTACATAAATTATCGCAAAAATATACCTACGGAGCCACCCAACCCACCCTAGAGCTCCCAGCCACAATCTAACAAGCCTGTCTGCCTTTTTGACCAGAAAGTATTTACTCTGTAAAATATTCCCTCTAATTATCAGGGGAATGAAATGTTGTACATGTATCCATTGTTCATATGAATGAACATATCTCTGTATACCCATACCCCAATCCCATAAAGTACTGTATATTATATCATTTATATATCTATTCCCTTCTTCTATCCATCCCCTCCTCTCCTAATCCAATCCCAACATTCCCAATACAAACTCCAGAATACTCCCCAATAAATTCCAATTCCCCATCCATCGTATCCCAAATTAGATTAATACATTACACTTCAATTCAATACAATACGGAGTAACCATAGGGATTCAAGTGGATTCATTATTCGAGTGGATTCATGAGCAGTGGATTATGGATGTTTTGTTGCATATCGCAAAACCAATACTTGTTGTTGAAATGAAATCATGGGAAATTAATTGGAATTGAATGTTGAATGAGCGGAGGAAGGAAGGGATGGATGGATTCTTTTACCGCTTTTTCGGGGAGAGATGGTTTTGTGTATGGTTATGTATGGTATCAACCAGTGTTTGTTTATTTTATGATGGTTTCAAGTATATCTCTTAAGTAAAGGAAAGAAAGGTTTCCATTGGAATAAATTATTCCGTTTCGGAAATATATACATTTATTTACTCAATTCATCAATAAACAAACAACAAAAGGAGAAGAAAAAAATGAAGAAATGTGTCCTAAGCATCAGCTCCGCCAAATCAATCTCCACTCTACTCACATACATCCATCTCCATCAACTCTCCACGGTGAAGAAAAATAAGCTTAACATACCCCATACCCAAGCATCAAATGTTGCACATCTTCAAACCAACCATGAGCGCTGAGAAATTGACCGAGGGAATTTGTTGCATATCTACTGACGAACCATGATTTTGTGGTATCTGTAAGGGTTATTGGTAAAGGAGTTGAAAAGGATTTATTATGAGGAGTTGAATACGAGTAGATAGTTGGTAGGAAATTTAT